GCCGTCGACATAGTGAGGCGCTTGTAGCGACGTCGCGCCGCGTAAACTCCACTACAGCTACGGGGCGGCGGCGAGCTTTGGACTGGGGCGGAATTTACGCGCCGCGACGTCGCTACAAGCGCCTCACTATGTCGACGGCGTTTACCGCTGTTTGAAAACAATATGAAATGGTTCCGAAGTATCGTCCACATCTGAAGTGAACACCACAGTAGCTTTCAGGATCTTGTAGAAGCTGGTTTATGACGTAACGCGGAAAATTGTTCAGTTTATTGACGTCGTGGAAGGATAAACATTGCTGTTTTACTGGTTTGAATACTAGTGAGGTGCTCGCTTTTTGTGTGGTCGGCCCTGTCGAATGTTTAAAACGGCGAAAGCTTGCCAAGGATGGCCCTGGTCTAGTGGCTAAGGTACTCGGCTGCTGACCCGCAGGTCGCGGGATCGAATCCCGGTTGCGGGGGCTGCATTTCCGATGGAGGCGGAAATGTCGTAGGCCCGCGTGCTCAGACTTGGGTGCACGTTAAAGAACCCCAGGTGGTCGAAATTTCCGGAGCCCTCCACTACGGCGTATCTCATAATCATATAGTGGTTGTGGAACGTTAAACCCCACATGTCAACCAATCAATCAGCTTGCGAAGAATGGAATAGCATAGGTAAATAAAGCGCGCGCTAGCCCACCGATGCGCGCACACGTGGTCTGTGGTTTCAGTGAATGGTTCGCACTGACGCAGCCAGGGGATGGCACATCGAGCCAATGTCCGCCCCCACCCCTTCCTCGTCCGACTTCTTTTTCGTAACGGCGTACATAGCGCAAATGAACATTTACCTACCCGACCCCACTTCAAATCCCCCCCCCCCCCCAAAAAAAAAAAATCTGCCTACGCCTTTGCGCTGATGTTACTGAAACAACCTCGTTGGACAGCACCTACATGGTGGGACAAGAACATTATGAGATGTCGAGTTTAGTGTTACCAGAACATTGCATGCTGGTTCCTTCGTTTCGTGCACAGAGGCCCCATAACGTTCCAGCGACGTCGTTGTTACACTGAAGCAGGTTAATAGATCAAGCTACCTCAACGTCGTCTAAGTCGCCATGTTGTGCGTGCATGACGTCACGACCGAGCTTCCTCCACGAAACAAAGGTTTCGCCATCTTGTCAACCATCGACGGTCACACGGGCCGGGCGGCCTCTGCGATAGAACGGCAAATCACCGTCCTGTCTCGCACTCGGGTTTCGATGAGGGTAGTAAACAAGCCGACGCATCCGTTGCTGCGAACGTACACCTGCGAAACAACGCCGCGAGTCTCTTTAGTCGATGCGCTGACTGACCTACGATAAATAAAGGCAATGCCACCGCGCCGTCGGGGACCACTCGACCGCTGGGCTGACTGAACTTGCCTGCTCTCACTCTCGCTCGCCCGCCTTTCCTTGTCTCTCTCCTGGAAAGGCTTCATAAATCACGACGCGTACATGAGCCCGCCTCTGCGGCGTTCGACACGACCGAAGTGAAAGCTTGAACGTAAGTCGCGCCATATTACGGGCGTGGGCTGAGCGTCCCGTCGTGTAGCCACCTCTCGTTAGTTCTTGAACCGGCCGTAGAGGGCGGTACTTGTACATGTGACGAAATGCATATACGCTGAAAAATGCCATTGGTACGATATTAGAGGACGTTACTTGTAGCACGATGAAAAAAAAAAATCGGAGCATATCCGTGGAGTGAAATATGATAAGTGGGGCGAAGCGTCCGTCATTCTGTCCGCGCGTCCGTCCGTCCATGGGGCCGTCTGTCCATCCCACTCGTCATTCACCTCGTGGATATGCTGTGATATTTTTTTTTCTGTTCGTCTGCGCGTAATCTGCGTGACGTCTACTAAAACTACTACTAGCAGTGGCACAAGCAGAATTATTCAACAGGTGCAGGGGGTGGGAAGGCGGCGTTCTTTGATGGTAGTTGGAGACGGGCAGGCAGATGTGGTCGATTGTCATTTTGTGGTGTACGATGTACATGTCATCCCCCCCCCCCTACACACAGAAAAAATAGCGAAAGAAAATGGCCCCGTATCTGCATGTTTCACTGCAAATGTCGAATGACGATAGTATTCCGTCTGGAGAGATTAATAAAATATTTATTTGGTGTTCTGCGCGAGAAATTCGGTGAATGAAATTCTAAGGGCGCTGCGTTAAAGTGCCTCAATGCGCGCAGCGGGTAGGTGCCACAACCGTATCGTCTTAGCAAAGCACTGGAAACACCCGCCTTTTCGTGCATAGCGTTACATTGTCAGCTTAGCGAAATAAACGCTACGTTCCTTAGAATATACTTATGCACGACTTTCATAGTATAAACATGTCACAGTATATTTCGTGTCGATGTTCTGCCTGAGATATGCGCAACATTTGCGTTTTAATCGATACTACGCACAAGTATGAACGCATGGGTACGTGGTTGGATTTTGGAGGTAAAGGCAAACAGAAAAATGGCAAAGAGACAAGCCGTCTCGGGTGGCAGGCAGACAGACGAAAATTTTTGCGTCGAAGTATCTTAAGAAAGATAATCGTCTCACTGAAAAAAAAAAAGGGGGTGCTGTGCGCCAACGCCCGGCTACGCCACTGACTTCCACGGCTTCGCCGTAAAGACGAAATCGTAAAAATAACATCAAAAACTCCCGTGAAGCACCCCTGAGTGACCAACCGGCGCACGACGTTTTCGAATAGCGTACGCAAACGCTATCCGTTGCCATCGTTGCCTCTGCGCATGCGTCATAACGCTAACCGCCTTTAGCGTTTGCTGTCTTTCGGGGATCCGAAATAGCGCGTGGCGCGCAAAGCCCCTCCTTTGCGGTCGAGTCGAGCGTGCGTTAGCGTTTGCGGGAGACAAACGCTATCGAAATACTTATATGACGCCCATACGCAAACGCTACGCCCGCTAACTCAGGGTACGCTATTCGTAAACTCCCTAGCGAGCGGTCGACCATATTACCAACGCCTCCTAGAAAAATTTGATAACACCGACTGGGCGGTGAATTGACAGTCTTCCCCTCGCCCTCTTCTTTTCTTTCGCACGTACACTCTAAAAAAATATCGAGTAAAAAGGGGTGTCTTTTTGTCCCACAACAATAACCTTCATCAGGCTTGCGTGCGCTTCCTTTCTTGAAAACTCGGCGCTGGCCACTTTCCTTTCGAGAATGCAATGTAACCCCGATAATGGGCATGTCGATCGTGACCGGAGTGTACCGGGAGCGGGGCGATAGCGCAAGGATGGAACGTAATATAGATGGCGATTATTGTTGTTGGACGAAAAGACACCCTTTTTACTTGCCGTTTTTTTTTTTTTAGAGTGCAGAACGCGACACGGCGCGCTGTAGTCCCCGTAGTGACGTGTTACGCCGCACTTGCGCGTTCATCCGAGGCGGCTCTTCCCGGCGACGATGTGTGGCTCAACACTTCCAGCAGCTGTGTTTCTGCCTGTCACGCGCGCATGGGCAGTGGCGGATTCGCACATCACAATGGACGCGAGGAGGCGACGGCGCAGTCGACGTGTCTCGCGGTCGTACGGTTCCTCAGAGCGTCGTATCGTATACCACGCTCAATGCAGCTGCGCGACCTGGCTCGGCGATCGTCTTGCAACGGTGTCCCCGTAGCGCAACGAATACGGGCTCCGCTCCGCCCGAGTTGTTCGGTACACCTGCGAGCACGGGCCGTGTGCGTCTCTGCTTGTTTGGGCGATGTCGCGTGAGCAGCTGAAAGTTGATATTGCAGCGATTGCTTTTTCATTGGCGTATCCGATAGGAGGAGGGGGGAGGGCAGTTTCTAAGCCCCCTCCCATCTCGAAAAACATACCTACATAAAGGGTGTTGAAGCTGCTCCCCCACCACCTCCCTCGCCCCCCAAAAATTTCTGGCTGTGCCCCTGTACTACCATGCCTGTCCTGTAAGCAGAAGCGGATCCAGCCACTCATTTTTTTTTTTTTTTGGGGGGGGGGGGGGCGATCGCTTAACGTAACACCGTAAAGGGAAGGGGGGCGTGGTCATTACTTTTTTGTCTTTACTGACATAAAAACTCAATCATAGCATAAATACTGTTAATCTGTGCTCAAAGGGATCCCACTCATTTGTCCTTATTGATGATTCCAGCTCGAGGGTAAGCACTGAAGAGAGGGGGAGGGGGTGCTTACAAGCATTGGGGGGGGGGGGGGGGCGACCGCCCTTACCGCTCCCCTTCTGCATCCGCCACTGCCTGTGAGCACGTTCTCGTCAGCGTTTCCACATAATCAGGAAAAAATTGCTACAAAACATCTTGGAAAACGATCTCGATGTCTAAAGCAAGTCTCAGCTCAGACTTCGTTTGGATCAGTAAGTACCGGGAACCTCTTGCATCTGTGCTATCGGCAGTTATTGTTGAATGTCGAAAAATCTGCTTCCAGGAATATTCGGATGACTTTTTTCAAACATATTGTTACAATATACAGATTGGTTTAAATAAGGGTGATAATGGTGGTTAATGATTTGGTGGCAATGGATCTTTATTAGGCAATACTGGTTGTCCTCCAATCTTGACACTGACGGTGTTCTACACATCCAGGAACATTGGCACTCCTCATCACAGCAGCCTTTTAAGACACCTTCGCTGCAGCTGTGAAACTGTCAACATAATTTTTAAAATTCGACAGTACTGGAACCTGTTGTGCATGAAACGTGTCAACTGCACTCCCATCCTGACATTTAATAGGGAGTTAGTTGATGTGTCCCATGTGGTTTGCGATGTACTTACGTGGTTTATATGGAAGAAATTGAGGCTCCAGGGGGACGACTTTGTTAGTATCACCCGGTTGATTGTCTGACTGTGACTGCAATGTTGTGTAACTTGTCTCACGCCCTGTGTGCTGTGCAATAACAAATGCTGGCATCGAAAGAGAGTGCGTTACAGCAGTCTGCACAGCTTTCTCTAGGTTTTCGAGGTGTTGCTTACTGCATTAATAATTGTTGTCTTTCCTTTGTTGCTGCAGAGCCTAATGCACATCGACGCAGCAAGCAAAAAGCGAGCGGCACGCGCTTCCCTGTCGGACATCGAGGGTGGCGGCTTTGTGACCACTGGCGGTCCGGACTCAGCCTACTGGTATCACCAGCACAGCCAGTGGGCTAGGACCTCGGCCTTCAAGCCATGGAGCCCCGTGCTGCTCAAGGAGCGAATGGCGGCCAGCAAGCTGCCCCCCGGAGAGCAGCTGCTTGCCGGCCTCCCGACTCTGCCCGTCTACCTCAAGCACAAGTGAGTTGCATCTCAGGGATGTCTTTACACAAGGAAACTGTTAGGTTGCTGTGGTTGAGTCACTTCTTTGTGCATGGCCATCACGTGGAAGCTGTTGACTTTTTATGGTCTGTGCTTCTTTGCGAATGGTAATCAAGCAAACACACGTACTCAGTTTCCTACAAAGCTAGCGAGAATTCTTGCAGTACGTGTTCGCACCAAGAAATACGGTAGTTCAGTGATTTTACCACCAATAATGTGATTTCTCTCTGTTTATGGGTCGAGTAATAAATGAAAATATGTTCTGCCTTAGGAATAAACAAACTCAGTTATTTGTACAGTTTGAATAGGTTAATCTGGATTGCTAAGTGTCTCTTTTCGTATTGTGGCCTTTACGACTAGTCCTGGTGTTGCGTAGCCAGAGCCTGTCGTGGAGACCTCGTTTACTACAATGAAATAAAAGAGGGATACACACGAACTTGCGCATTTTGCAGACAACTTCTTGCATAGTTTTCCACAGTGTCCTTTGACGCCCATCAACACAGGTCTATCCAAGGTGTCACAAGAACCAGTTTTTTGTCACACACGTTGGGCAAAGTATGGTAATAACAGTTGTTTAATACCTGTGTTCACATTAGCAGTGGATGACCATGTACCAATGTAAATAATCCTCCTACATTCTTTTTCTTCCCGTCTGCTACTCTCTCACCCCTCGTGCTCAACAAAGTTTGGGTGTCAGGCATTCAAGCTAGGCAGTATCTATCACCGAGCCGATGAGAGCCATATCACGGAGTGCAGCGGCAAAACGAAGTTCTTGCATAGCTTCCACAGTGTCTTCCAACGCATGTGCGAGATGAGCAGGGCTGCGGACTTCTCTTAGCTACAGCTATGCTTTTTCGTGAACTAGAGATCACTCCTGCTTCTCTTCAGTGCAGTTATCACCACTTTTTTTTCATTTCTGAGCACTGCAATCAAGTTATAAAGAAAAGTTGGATGGAATGTGTGATACACCTGCTGATTATATTACGCTCAAACCTCATTATAGCAAATTTGCGTCTAACACTAAAATAAGCTCGTTAAATCTGAAAGACTATTTGTCATGTACTACATTATAACAGATGTTTCATTATATTTGTGTTCGTTATATCGAGGTTTGAGTGTATTTGCATATCAGGATTTTTTCCCTTTTTCCTCTGGTCCACACAGCACTTTCCCAAGACAAAAAAGAAAGAACAACAATAAAGCAGGGTGGGGTCATATCTGTTTTGCATAACTGCCCGAGATAAAAGCTGCATCGCACCATTCACTGTGCGCATCCACATATTCACAGCCATGCCATTCTAAAGCAAACAGATGTCTTGTTTCTATGCATCTACTTGGTCCACGAACTTGGCTGGGACAGGCAACAAAAGCAGAGAGCTCACGTCTTTGTCTTGATCTCCCAACAGCTTGGCCTACCCTGTAGAAGCCTACCTCCCAGCTGATGTCGCAGAATTACAGAAGCTGGGTCCAGCAGTCCTAAAGGCCGATCCCGACAGGTTGGTCTCTCCAGTGATGGTTGAAACCTGTGATACGTACTAAAAGGTCAGATTTATAAGAGGGGCATGTCCTGTGAACCTGGAGCAGCTGGTGACGGCTGTCGTTCAACGTGCAGCAGGTTGTGTGTCAGCCTGTGACGAAAAGGGCAAGTGCCTTTTCCGGTTGTGAGAGTGCTGGCACGAGTCACGTATGAAGAATAAAAAAATTAAATGAAGAAGGCAAGAAGTAGGTACTACACTGGAAAGATATTGAACAACTGTAGCTGAGTTATTTTATAAAGATTGATTCAGTCCACGCAACTGCCACCCTTCAGTTGTGTCATCACTGTTGATGTCATCATTACAGTTAGCCATGTATTGTCCTGTAGTACAAATTATCTTATTTCTGCCCCATCTCTTTCCTTCTTGGGCAGACCCCTGAAATTGGCATCCCAGATATTGACAAGCACAGTTCTCGTTATAATTTATACCATCACAGTTGATGACAAGTGTAACTGTCATAGTGTGATAATTCCTACATCTAGAAAAACTTGTACAGTTTTAGTCATTTTCTACAGTGCCAAATGATACAATACATTTTGTCATGCCAAGAGACAATTCGCCTTAGTAATTTTCTACAGTGCCGAATGGTACAATACATTTTGTCATGCCAAGAGACAATTCGCCATCTTCAGGTTTGTTACTGCTGCTGCTGTTGTTGACATCTTCATTGTTTTTAAGGTTACACTGTACTACTTTTGAAAGCATCGTCAAGAAGTGCTGTGAAGATTTCAAGATTTGAAGTGAATTGTATGATTCCATGATTTAAACAGCTGACACACAGTCAGTTTGTTGCAACTCAGACAGCCACATAAAAGCATGTGCAGACTGCCTTTGTGCACCCTAAAAGCTTCCTATTCAGCACTGTAATGGTCATTTGCCAGCCGATAATGGTCAGCTTGTCAATAACAACTGTCATTGCTCTAATGAGCTGCCCTAGCATTAAGAGGCATCATGGGCAGGACTGAGCTACAGTGTGACATGCAGGTTTCCTCTTGCAATGAATAAAAGCAGAGCTAATGACCACCTGTTAAACGGTTAATGTTGTACGCGTAAGAAACTCGGTCACTATAAGCCTCACTGTTATGACATAGCTAAATATGTCAGTTTCGCCCACAGCCATCGCTGCACCTACCACAGTGAAATAGCGGGAATGCTCCATCCACAAAGGAAAGTTTCATATAACTCATATTAACTCATATTCATATAACTTATACAAGTGCTAGGCACGATCTTACAGTGACTACAATAATGCACTCAGACCTTGATATAAAGAACCTGGATAAAATAAAATATCGGTTACAACAACGTAAAAGAAAAATACTATTGCAGTAAATAGTGTTAGGAATATACTTTTATAACAAATTTTTGGGTATAACGAACTTATTTTAGTGTAATGTGTACACTACCATGCGACTATATACAATGATGCTCACTCATTTTCATGATGTCAAGCACTTCTTGAGCGTTTCAGACAGTTTTCTGTCCAACGCAGACGCATGTGTGTGTCGCTAGCTTTTAATAGGTAACTAAGACGCATTGGTAAATTTGCTCATAATCCTGACACCACTACTCAGACAAGCACAATGCTTTAGGTAGTAACGACTTACCATTAATTCTCATTGTGCGTAGTATTTACACTACCCGAGGAAAGTACTTAGTTCAAGGAGAAACCACGCACAACTACTTTCTTTGACTAGTAAAGGGCAGTTGCCGCTGTCGTGCAGGTGGAGCTTACGTATCGTCGTAGGCTGGTTGCAACCAATTGAACCATCATGACATAAGGGTGTGCTTCATCCTCGCCAAAAAGATGGTTTCAGCAGCAACTCGAAACACACAGGCTAAGAGTGTGCGGGACCGTGTGGTACCAGAGTCGTAAAAAGGTTATGAAGTCGTCGAATTGTTTGTTACAAAAGAACTGGATACGTTCGCAGGAAGATGCCAGATGCAAAAATAGAGTTAAACATCCTTATCCTGTCACTGTTGCAGGCTTGAAGCAGGTGTGACGCTGCCGGTTCTGAAGAAGGGAGCTCAGATTGTGATGGACGTTGTGCCCAAGAAAGAGCACGTGCCGACTGCCTGCAGCAGGTCGTTGGAGTTGGCATCGGGAGGCATGGCACCTGCCGGCAAGCTCGTCAACGGAAGGCTGTCTGCTGACACGGAAGAGACCATGTCCAATAGCAGCCTCAGCACATTGTCTGGTTGGTTCCCTCGACACTTTTCATTCGTGTTGACCCCAACATTAGAACTCACTAGTTCTGCATGCAACCTTGGCAAAGCTAGCCTAATGACAACAGCTCCTGAACTTGTCCAAAATAAATCAGGTCTATTAATCTTTACTATAATCATAATAGAATCGCGAACGTTTCGTCCATCAAAGCTAGTCTTGGCCTCCTTTTACTAAAAGCTTTTATCTTGCACATGTACTGTTTAACGCTATCATTTACCAGATCATGTTTATTGTGTCACGGGAAAAGATGCTCAGAGTTTTATCTCCCCATACATAAACCTTTCCATACGTACGTTTACGTTTGCACAAAATAAATTATGACGATGACTGCATATAAAGGGGCCGACAACTGCTTAGAACATAAATGAGATGACTGCACGAATGGAAAGACTGTCCCTCGTAGTGACTTAAACCAACCCTGTCTTTCTCGTGGAAAATGGAGTTATAGTTTTATTTATAGTTCCTTCGTGGGTGATTCTCGCCCACATTTTGTCACTAAACATTATGTGCCTTCTGTAAAAGAGTTAGTAAACTTCATTAACTTGAGCTTTGAGTCTTTTAGTTTCGCACCACACAAAACAGAAGGTGGGAAAAAGTTTCGAGCCGCAAAGGATCAATGGTCCCTATGATGTCCTTACTGCATGTGCGATCCATTCGATTGTGTCTAAAAAAAGAAATAAGTCTCTCAAAAAAAACCCTGCTGTCACAAAAGGGCGTGTAATAAAATAGTGGTTGGTTAAGGCTGAGGAATGGGCAGTCACCATGCTTTTGTTCTCTCAGGAGTGGAGGATGTCGGCATGGCCGAGGATGGCAAGGAAGGCGCCACTCTGGTTGCACCCGAGCTGCAGGGCCTGTGGGTGGCCTTCGAGAGGCACTCCCTGGGCGAGCGTGCTCGCCAAGACATCATGCACGAGGTCAGCCTGCTCCTGTCGGCGTGCCAGCAGCGGCATTTCATTGCCAGCTACAAGCTGCTGCTGCAACAGCGCCAGGTCAGTGTCTTCTTTCGTAGCGGCGTGTGAATACACTCGGACCTCACTATAACAAAGTTGCATCTCACACGAAAATAAGTTTCTTATATTCATAAATTCATTATAAAGATTTAGTCCTAGCACTACATCTATTGCAAGACTATTTTTCATTTGCTTCGTCGTAACAGATATTTTGTTACATCAGGGTCCGTTGTATTGAGGTTTGAGTGAATTCCAAACTTTAACATAAATGTGTTGGCATTGTCACAGTGTCCATTTTGCTATTGCCATCTTACTTTCTCACTTCTGTTATATAAAAGGCACACTGAAGTGGAAACACTAAGTCAGTTTTACGCTAAGTTGTTCTTTGTGGGGTGTATACCATCGAATATTTCGCTATATTAGGTTCATTAGAATAAGAACATAGAGTGAAGGTCCAGGTGTTCTTGAATTTAACAATACCTTTGCACGTAAATGCCTGTGTCATTTAAACATTCTCATTTAATTTTTTTTCATATTTTGGCTTCGTTCACTCAATAGAATTTATTGATGGTCAACATCATGTTGATTCTGTTGCTTCATTAGAACACAACGCAATTGATTTTTTTCATATATAAAAATCACACATGCTCTAGCAGATGCTATGAAGATGTGGGGTTATTACGAACAATTATCAAGGAGCCACAAAATACCTACTAAGAAACCACCAGATGCATTTTTTGTTTTGTACTGTTTCTGGTTTTATCTAGTGTCTTCCCCATACCAAGAGTAGCACTCGAGGTATTAGAGAGATCTTACAGTGGACAGGACTGTGCTGCAGAATATTTTGAAGAAAACAAGTGTAGGACTTTAAGGAGACACTAAAGGCAACTATAAGGTCGACGTTGATTGTTGAAATAGCGGTCCAGAAACCTTGTAGTGTTAGTCCTGTGCCAAGGAAGGGCTTATTTTCAAATAAAGTTACATTTTAGTGGCCCGCATTGGGTTAGCGCACTTCAAATTACCCGCCTCAAGAAGCGGTCCGACTAACGTCACTGTTGCCATGCACAATGTTGCCCGCCTTTACTGCACGGTAGCCGACACTAGTAGACAGAATAAAAGCAGCGAGAGCCACAACAGGAACAACGGCCATTGAAAAACTTTTTGCTATTGGCTCCGAGATTGCAGACGTGTTTTTGCCCAACTGGGTCCCGCTAGATGGCATGGTATGTCCATTGTAACAACGCGAAAATTGAATTTTTCAATCACTCGGGCCATTCTTCAGAGTAACGTCCGGCGGTTCTTTTTTCCATGAATCAAACAGAAACGAACAAGCAGCATTTTATTGCTTTCTCTTGATGCACACAAGGTTCTTTATTTAGTGCAGCTAGATCAATTCCTAGTGATTAATTGTAGGCGGTTCGTATGATGCCGTCGGTATCATTGTGAGAATGCCCTACTGGGGCACATGTATTCTTGTGTGTTTACCTTAATTTCTCATTTAGTAGGGCACTGCTGTTGATAATATTGTCGTTTTAGATGTTGTCATTCATTGAGCTTTCACTCTGACATAAATTGTTATTTGATTTTAGTGTCCCTTTAAAGCAAGCATGTACTCATGTCTAGAAGCTAGCAGAGCCAATTTGAGATGGCCAAGAGCTGGTCTAATTTTTCATTATGTCATGGCTTCATGCAGGAGGCGGAGCCCATGCCTCCTTGCAAGCTGGGCTCCATGGCCAAGGGTGGCGACATGCCATCCCCTCGTCGGCCGCCACCAACAAGCGCCGTGCTCACGTCGCCACCCAACAGCACACACCAGCCGCCGACGGCCAGCTCTCCCGAAGCAGCCCCACACGGGTCCCCAGTGAATTCGCACGAGGACAAGGAACTCGCAGCCTGCACTCCCAAACCGCCACTCAAACCACCCGTGGAACAACACAAGATGCTCCTTACCGCCTAAACCGGTGGTGCCGCCGCAGCATCGCATGCATCGCACGTCGCAGCGTGCGTCACTTAATGTCGACTCGCTGCGACCCTTCCACAGTTTCTTTCTGTGCTGTTGCCATTGACTTGGAAGGCCATGTGTGTGTGTATGTGTGTATGTGTGTGCATGACTGTGCATTCTTGTGGCCTGGGAAATGTGTTGGTAATGCGAGGTGCGACCCCATTGGAGGGAGGAGGAAGAGAAGTGAGCATGCCACATTAATCTCGCTCAGTCATTGCGAGCTTTTGCGTATATGTTCATGACAAACGACATTATCAATTGAAGGCAAATAATGTAAAAAATGTGGGCAGTTTGCGATAGTGGATCAAGGCTGAACTAACAGCTTGTGGGTGACCTAGACTAATAGCAAGGTCTTAATTAGTGCAGTCTTAATTAGCACAACCTGTTACCGCCAATTGACGTTTTTATTCAAGGCAAGTCATACAGTAATATCTGAGGGCAAAACCACGATATGAGACACGCCGTAGTAGCGAGCACTGAAAATTTCGATCATCTAGTGTTTAATAACGTGGACCAATGTCGCACTATGCTCGGGCCTCTAGTAGTCCGTGTCTATCAAAGTGCAACTGCCACGGCCACTATTGAACCGGCAACTTTTGCATCGGCAACGGAGCATTATGACTGCACCACCAATCAGTTGATGGCAAATGCATTGCCATTCACAAAATTTATCTGGAACAGCATCTGCTGAGACTTATTCCCAACAGGCATACCTGTTGGTTAAATGTAGAAGCGAAATTCCTGACAAGAAATCAAGAGCTAGCTTGGCTCTGCCAAGCATGCAGACTTGAGAGCCCTGAATAGCTCAGAAAATGCTTGAAATCTTAAAGATTGAAAAAGTGTAACAGGTATGCTGTTGAAACAGACAGAACACCAAGCCCGACTGGCCAAACCAAATGTATACGAGTGCCACGGAACCAAAAAACACCTGGTCAGAACACAAACCCGGTGATTTTCGTGATTTACAAAATGGACAGCATAAGTGAACAAGCTTCATGAAATGCTTTCTCTGTTTTGCACAGCTGTCTTGCCACATTCACATTAGATGAAAACATAACGGTTGTTACTACTACTACTGCTGACTACTACAAGATGGTCAACAAACGACTACATGGCAGGTGTCGTGGCAGACTTCAATTCCTCAGCCTCCTCCCCATGTACCGTCGATCGCCAAGCCTTCCTCTCGAAGCAGCTATTGTGGCTGCAAATCACAAATTGGCTTTAGTTCTAGGCTTGATGACTGCAAACACAAGTCAGGCAAAAACTGTTGGCTGTGGTCAATGTTTGCTTTGACTTAAAAAAAAAAAAAGGCACAACCAGTTGACGTTATGTGCCAAATCGTACCTGTTTTCTCTTTGAGCGGAAAGTCTTTCTTTGGAAAGTCTCTTTTCCTGGGGCCCACCTCGCTCGTGTTTGATGAGCAGGTAACTGGTGCGGAAAGAAGCGTCAAATGCAATACTTTTTTCTGTTTTCCTTCTTCTCGTGCCGTAAATGCGACATGCACACACAGCGATTGTGGTGATCAGCCGAGAACGTCGAGTCGCGGAGGCAGTCAGTACCGCTGCAAGATCTCGCCGGCCCTTTCGTTCGCCGAGGTCTTTTACCGTCTTTCCTCTTTCAACGTGTCCGTGTTATCGCCGTTGTTGCTGTTACGTTATCTTTTAATTCTTACTTACTCGCACTTCTCTCTCGTGAAAATGTAGTAGACAATGGCTGTGTGTTGTCATCAGCACAGGTGCTTCTTTTTATGTTTCGTGTCACTCACCTTCGTAGTGTTCATAGCTTTCTTACTGTAACAGTGTCGGCCTGCCTGTTGTTTTCACCCCCCTTTTTTTATGGCTCATGTTTTATTCTAGACTCGAGAAGTTTTAATGTCTGTTGTTTCGTTTGTTGTTATTGTGCGAGTGTATAGAAGCCTCTGTGTCGAGTATACCTCACGGTCTGGCTCGCCAGGCCAGCTTGCTTTCAATGGTGCAAGCTGAAACTGTTGGGCAGACACACAGCCCGGCCTTTGCGCTAGATGTAACGCAAGTTGTGTGTGGTGTGTCTGAAACTTCTAGTGGGACGGGGTGTCCCTTCATGTGCGTTCGTCTTACCTCAAGGTGCAAGTTGTGGGGTGTTTGGTGTATCCTGTAGGCAGGGCACGAGCATCGCTCTGCAGTGACAGTTTGCATTGTGCCAGCGTGTGTGAACCTTGTTTTTTTTTGTTTTTCTCGACATTTTTTTCTGACCTGTGAGTGTTTCTGTTGCCCAGTTCTGTGTGCGTGTATGTGTGTGTGTGCGTGCACATTTTCAGTCATCATTGCCCTTTTCATCTGTCGCGCTGCAGAAGCACGGCTTCTGTGTCGAAAGCCTTGTTCGCTCACCACTCACTCGTCGTCATTCCCGTCGCCCATTTTACGAAATCGCAGTGCGCGTGGGGGTGCGGGCACGCGCACCTTTAATGAGGGAGGTTTGTTTCGAGTCAACGGTCTTTGTTGAGAGAGCTGGAAGAGCACTCTGTGGTGTCGAAAATCTGTGGGAGGATGAAGCCGGATGCAGTAGGAATCTTGCCGGCGGGAAATCCTGAGTGGCGCGGAATGGCATTTTCGAACGTACACCTCATCAGAAACAATGAAATAATTTTTTGCAGCAGCAGAGCTGCACTCATTGAATTTAATTTACATCTACTTACAGCCAAGTGATTGTTGCAGCACACTGCGGAAAGGTTAAAACAATTTTGTGGCCAGAATAGATTTGCATGACAACGAACAACCTTAACACCATGACACGAAAGGTCACGGGTTCGATCCCGATCTCGGCAGTCGGATTTTGATGGGAAGAAATTTATGGTAGGGGCTCGCGTACTGCATGATGGCACTGCACATCAAAAAACACCAGATGGTCAAAACTTTTGGAGCCCTCCACTACGGCGTCTCTCATAATCACTTTGTAGTGTTGAGACAAAACTTTAGATAATAAAAAAAATTACTCACATTAGTGCAGTCTGTGGCAGCTTGTGGATGTGCACCAGTTGGACTGATCAAGAAAAGCATTTGATGGCTTGAGACTGAACATTCCGTGCTCTGCACTATTTCTGAGTTCTTATCGTTCATGATTGTTACAAGCAACATTCTACTGCATCCTGGCCGCTTTTATTCACCGGACAGACTGTTTTGCATTTTGACTCCTTTAAAGAGAAAGCTGTCATTGTTGGTCGTCTAGCGCACATGTTTTCATTGGGCACCCCCATACTGCAAAGTGCAGCCCGAGAAATGTTTCATTCAATGAGTATTCAGGGATTTTCGGAAGGACAGCTCCCATAGAGGTTTTTTTTTTTTCTGTTCCTCCTCGAGGTAGGTTTGTGCTTTTCATGTGAGTTCAACAACCTTAATGAAAACAACGGCAGGTTTCACACTCTGCACACCTGATCGTTGCAGCTCATTTCATTACGGTGTGCCTCGAGTGAAAGTTGCTGCGACTTTTTCTTTGGCAGCAAAACGCTCATTTACAGTGCGTCCATTTTCAATGGTCAACTATCAGTTAACATACCAGTAGGCAATGCCTCCTACTTTGTGCTTTGATTCGCATACTGATGGTCTTTCCCACCGCCCTTGTAAGTGGACTGCACTTCGTTCAAAATTTTTCGTTTTCTGTTTGGACATTTTATCCTCTGCATCCTGAACATTTTCATTACGTGCACACGGTTCGTGCCTCATGCACATGTTGCTGCAGTATTCCTTGCACAAGCTCATTCTTTTGCTGAGTGCATGCAGAATCAATTGTATGCGCAATGCAAATGCAGCAAAACGACATATTTGTTGCTACAAAGAAACGATGCTGTTGCATTCGTTACAACAGCTCCGCTTCAACGGGACGCCAAAGGAAAACGTTAAGTTGGGACAAACTCATGAATTTGTCATTAAGAAGTACACCTTCCCATGTTAACCTCTTTCTTGAAAATTTATCCACCGTATCAACGGAGGGCTGTTACATTTCTAAAAAAAATTTCACTCGTGCCTAAACTACCACGCTGCGAGCGCTATTGCGTGGCTTTTGAGACTATCCAGTCTTTTTTCCGATTTCATTGGCTCAGTATATTTAGCGCTGAATTGATCCGGATAGTACTAGTTACACTTCCAGTTGCTGGTTACAAACGTAACCTAGGGCCCAAACATGCCCCACAGTTTTCCTTCGGCGTCTCTCCATTTTTTTTGTGTGTGTCTGTCTGTCTCTTACAGACACGGTACCTCATCATCTTAGTGAGGTGTTTTTAAAGCACCCGGTCAAGTCTTGCTTGTCGTTTATATTTCTCTTGTGTTTTTTTTTCTATTTGTGCGTGTGTGCGTGTGCAAAGTACTATTCGAAGCGGGTTTTCAAATGTGTGTGTCCTAGTCATAACGTCCCCACCTTTACATTATCCTGCACAACAACAACAACAAAATAACTTCAAAAAGTGTCACGTCGACACATGTACAAAATGAAAGAGAGATAGAAAAAAAAAATGAAGGCGACAAAGATCCGCAGCTAGAGGCTCAGCGCCTTGTTCGCGCCGAGACGCTGTTTGACAGTGGCACAATGCGACAAGATGTAAAAGATTAAAGAAAAATAAAGAAGAAAAAGAAGATTTCAGAGATGGCACATGCACGGTTCTCGAAAGCATAGCTGGATTCATGGTGTCGGTTGCCTCTTGCAGTACAAAAAATCCGTGCCAAGGAAGAGACACTTCTCGCTTTTTTTTCACCATGCCCTTAAACGGTCAGCTCCAGAAAAAAAAAAAACGTTATTGGCTTGGCTTTTCATAGCGCATCATTCAAACTTTCACATCCTTCATCGTTTTGTTCGTTTCGAGCCTTTAAGACAGCATCGTGTCTCTCGTCCGTCGCCAACGGAGCTGCCGTTTCCGAACCACGACTTCAGCCCTTTACCTCCCATGCACCTCTCTCTTCCATGTGTTTTGAGTAATCATAAATGTAACCCTAGTGCCAAGATACCAGTCATCATGTCCTCATCGTTTGTGGTGTCACTTCGCTGTATTTATTTTGAGCTTGGATCATGGTGTCATCTCCCGCGACCTGTCATTTTGTCTGCGACTTGACAGAGCCTCGGATTTAGGGCAGGGTCGACTTGCCGCAACCGACCGGTCGCATTATCACCGCGACAGGCTGTTTTATGTCGTAAATTGTGGCACCTGTACATAATGCAGTTGCTGGTTCCCATCTTCCATTTGCTCCCAACTCCCCGCATTCCTTCTTTTTGTTTGTTTGTTCACGTTCCATGCGTTATTGTCGTACGACCGCAACACCTCTTTTACGTCATCCTGCATCTGATCATCGTCACGTGCGTAACTCCTTCGTCGTTTTCGGTTGTCCAGACCGAACCCACGAAACGATTGGCTTTCTCAGCCTGTTCGCGTCATTTTGAGCAACTGTACGCTGGACTTTGAGTGTTGCTGATGCAGTACTTTGCAAATGGGCATGTTTGTGATAGGCTAGTTGTTAATGTAAAAACAGGGGGGGGGGGGGGGGGGCTCACAGGCCTTTGCTGAATTGGAGAGCTGCGATTCTGGGCGGTATGCACTGCTTTCAGTGTGAAACAAGGATTTCTGGCAGTGTACTTGCAGTGAATCAAAAGCAGGATGGACAGTGTTAAGGTTTTTCGAACTATCAGGTGCCTGATGAATCCGTGCACGAGTTTTGTACCATTCTGTGATTCTGGCGAGTAACGCTGTTGTCACGTGCACTGCCAATGATCACGTCTTGCGCAAAGCCTGTACAGTGCGAGAGTAATAGTGCACAGGTGGCCACCATATTGCGCTGGTGAACACAAAGCCAAAGTCACTCGAATAAAGCAGGTCTGCTCGCCAATTTAGCCAGAGGAGTTGAATGTTGCTGCTTTTTGCTGTACGGTGCGTCACTTCGATCTGGGGATTTGTTTGATTGGCCCATCAAATTCACTAGTAACAGGCTCGCACTAATTTCGTGCCTGTTAAGGTGTTGTTCTGTGCAATCCTAGTCTTTTTTTTTTTTTCAATTAATACATATTCGTGTAAGAGTTCAAAGCTAACACTTTTACAGGAAGCCACCTGGTTGCCCAGTAACATTACATTTTACACAATCACATTCAAAGGCTTCTGCTGCAGCGTTCTGTGCATCTATGCAGCAAGAGTAGTCTATACACTGCTCAAGAATGGCAGCTTCCAGTTCTCGAGCACGTGGCAACTTTGTAAATTTTTCACACTCAGGAATGATTTTAATCTTGTTTTTTTTTTGGTCAAGGCTCACAAGCAAGCAGTTGCATAAACTTTTGAGTGGACCGTTCATGTTATAAAAAAAAAGTTGAATGCAGCAAGAATGAACCTTGACTTTCAAGGTTGCGACAGGCGTCGTTGTAATAACTGCTCGCTGGACGACGTATGTGGGAGACATACCACATTGTACGTGTTGTACATTGAGAATGCCGTTCTTGGGATATTGGCCCGATGCGCTTCACGATTGCATTGTCATTTTTTTCTTTTTCGCAGTAGTCTCATTATCATAAAGCATTTGTTAGCCTCCAGTTGTGCTTGATTGTTGTTACATTGCTTGGGGGGACGGGGAGGAACTCGTGCACGCATGTGTTACGACAGAGTCCGCAAACACTGTTCACACTAAAAGGGACTGCTTTAGGATAGCCCGTTAGGTGCACAAAAGCAATTCACTGGTATTTGTGGGGTTTGGGGGGGAGGTACAAGGGGCTCAGCATAACAGAGTGTTACAGTTATATGCAAGCAAGGAAGCCGTGTGGTAAAAGGAGAGGCGGTGGAAACGTCGTGGCAACTCGAGATGTTTCAAAAGACTCTCGCGTGCCATCGTCGAGGCGGTAGCCTTTATGCAGTGAAACCTGTGCTCACGTGTTCTGGAAGTCGTCTGTGTATGCGCTTTTCGTCCCGTACTTCTCAGCACTTGCGTGATTTGGCATCGCCCCGAATCGAGTCCGGCTCGAGTCGACTTGTCTCGAAGGAAGATGTCTGCGAGGACAGCCGGCCTGTGTAGCTTGAGCAAGGCATTGAAGAGAAAAGCTGTTACACGGCAGTAGAAGGCAGTGCACAAAAACAAACAACAACAGAAAGCGGCAAAACGTTGCTTGTTCTGCTTTTTTTCCCCGTTGTTCCTTTATCGCTGTTTCTGCGTAGTTTCTTCTTCGGCAGTTGTCCTGCCTCGCGAGTTTAAGCTTGTCGTTTCTTGCTGTGTTTGTTGCGATGCGGGTGTTGTTACTCAAAAGAAGAACGAAAGAGAGCGAGTTTCGGAGGCAACCATGAGCGGCATGTTGCACAATACAGTGCCATCCGTACCCGGGGCGGTGAATGGAAGAGGCCAAATGGCAGATAAGGGCAAACTGTGTGTATGTGTTTTCTAGAAGGTTTCAAGAGTGTCGCACAGGGTTTTTTCCATTTTGTCTACTACTGCTACCCCCCCAAGCGCAGACTGTGGTCCAGTTATCAGTGCTCGATTTTGTGAGTGGCCGGAAGCGAGAGAGATTGTTCTTGTTTTTTTCCACGTGTTGCAAGGTTTGTGCCTGGCCCCGTGCTTGGGCAGAGAGAAAGATGTTGGCTGTGGATGGAGCAAGCATCGCTCCTGCACACAAGACTGTGATCAGTGCAGGCAGGATTGTGATATACTTTGAGGAGGAGAAGGGTGGTACCTGTGAAAGGAGGGAGAGCGAGAGAGAAGAGTTGCATCGATGGCCTGGCTTGCGAAACCAGCTGTGGATACAGATGGCCACGTATGTTGCAGCCATGAAGCATGCTGCTTTCATAGTTTTTTTTTTGTTTCTTACCCACAGAGTTCTCGTTGCACTGCTAACTCCAGCAGCATGGGTTGAGCTCGCTGCGTTTTTTAGCTTCCTTACCCGAAATTTTTGCTTTCCTTGCTCTTAATCCGACATCCCTCACCAGGTTTGGAGAATGCGATGAAGCATAGCAACTTGCTTCTTAGCTGACAAACTGTTTTATCGGCCACCTTATCATTGCAGACTACGGAGAAAGCTGACGCACCCGAATGGTGTCGTCGCGACGCCTGTCAGCCCGGCGTCCCTGCAGCAGTCTAGCAACCATGCAAAAACCAAAGGAGCCATTCCGGCTCCCGCAGCCAGTGCCATAGGTCCTGCACAGCGTGACGTCATGTGGCCTTTTTTTCCTCGTTTTTAGTCCGACAGTTGAGCAGGGTTGTGGGTGTTTGTACATGCAACAAGGAGAAAGGCCGGAGTGGTGCTACAGCAAGAGCCGTCTTACTCTAGGGTTGGCGGCCTGCTTCGCTAGATTGTGTAGTCTGTTTGCGGGAGTGAGAATGGCCTGAAGGGATGGTGTGCGAGAGAGAAAATTGAGCGTCGGCTTTTTCTCTTCTTTTTTTTTTTTGCTTGCGAGAGAAGGCACAGAACCTAAGTCACTAGCAACCCCGTAACGTGCACGAGGGTGGTGATATACTCAACGAATTACAACTGTCAGTTCTTCTCGTGTGCCCTTATTTGATTGTCTGTTTTTACAGTTGGCGTGTTGTTGGTTCAATGCTTGGCGCTGGAAGGATGGTAGACGTGTGTCATTGTTCACGTGAGGTGTTAAGAGCGTTTCATTCACTACTGTTTGTCATTGTTTAATTTTTGTATTGTTTTTTTTTTTTGCTTCCTCCCTGGACGACCCCCACTTGTGCACTGTCTTTCCTCCCTCTGTCGGGGGAGGAAGATGGCTTGAAAGAAGGGTGCAATGTTGCGAGTGACGTGAAAGGCTTTGTACATTTGCTCACGGCTGTAGAATATTGTAAATATATGTACAAGTCATTTGGAGGGTTTCAAAAGAGATAGTAAAGGGTTTGTATCTCAGAGCCCCCTGCCTTGCTTTTTTTCTTGCTTCCCTGGATGCCCCAATGACTGACTGGAGCGTCTTGGAAACAAAAAAAAAAAAACTTTTGGGAACACTGTGTATGCACTCAAACATCGATTAGTACAACCAACCTGAATAACGACATATCAGTTATAACAAAGCAAATTAAGAATAGTCTTGTAAATGAGTCTTAACAATATAGCATAATAACATTTTCAGATATAACAAACTATTTTTGGTAACATGCAACTTAGTTATAATGAGGTTTGAGTGTACAGTTGCGGCCACGTCTGTTTAGAGCACGGGAACAGCCAGTTTTTGCTCTGCGGGGCGAAATCTTGGGGCAGTATCAGGCTCTGACGTGGCCAGCCTGACAACTAAACCACTTCAGAGCCGGAAATTGCTTCAAGGTTTCAGCCTGCAGAGCAAAAACCGGCTGCTCGAGCGCTCTACACAAACGTGGCCACGGCTGTACTACAAATAATCACCACTACACATACATAAACAAACAAGCCATTTTGTAAAAGTAACTTTAATGGTATAAAAATATGGAACCTTCTTGAGGTAGTCATAGATATTTTTTCTGTTAAGGCACTGAATGCTTCACTACTCTACAAACAATCTATACAATCAGCGGGCTGTTTTACACAAAGCTCACGCAAGCATGAAATGGGTGGCTGCTAGGAGTCGCGAGCGTTCAGCCGCACCTGGCATGTAAACCAGCGAACCATGGCTTTATGACACACCTTGACAACTTGCTGGGAACAAAATAATATAAAAGAACTGTGCAGAACTTGGAATCGGCATCAATGTGAAATGCAAAATTTCATACAGTCTTGATCCCGCTTTTATAAATAAAGCCACACTGATTCTGAAGCTTGCACAAATTCTTTTTGATAATATCAACATGTGGACAGCATTAAAATTCTATGGTTTGCAGCATTCAGGGAGTTTGGCAAGAAGTAACAAAGTAGAGAGGATGGTTTAGCTAAACATGAAAAAAAAAAAATGCAGCCATCAAGGCTATTGATGCCACACTGGTTATATTGCCTTGGCATAGTTATCTTAGAGACTAGAATAGTATTTGCAGTGGACACTTAGCTCGAATTCTATTCCCTCCAAAGTTATTTCAACTTCTTGTCCGAATTCCTTAATATTGTAAATGAAAAAAGAAAAGGGACAAGGAAAAAGCCAACACAGTCCTCACAATGGCACAAGTTCACATCATTAGAGTTAAGTGAGCGAGCACGTTTAACACAATGCGAGGCATAACGTTTACCAAGAGAGTCGCCTCGCATTTTTTTGCAAGCAGCACAAACAGAGTTATGTAGAGCAGTCCCAACTGAACCCATGAGAGGAAAAGATCACGTGCTTTCTCACAAAGCACGTATAGTTAAACGATTAAGTGCTGGCAATTCAATGACGCACTTGACGAAACACGCAATGAATCTCAATGCTTTGCCTCATATACTCGTGTTTGACAGACAATTAAAAGAATGGTGTCTGATTTTTACTGCAGTTTCTTCATGTACTCGGATCATTGAAAACGGGGTGTCTGTAGGACACACATTGCTCCGTGACCGAAGTAAAGCACACAGTGCTTTAGTACTTCAGTCACAGTAAAGCAGAGCAAGGACAAGCAGAAAACTGTCAGGAAATCTGAGCTGCTTTCTCCGTAATAGATTATCTTCTGTCCATGTCAGAGAGCTGCTGCACAGGAAGGTCTGCACACAATACGAAGTAACAACGGACAATAACCACTTCGGGCAAATGCTCTTCCAGCCACCAGTTAAAACTCTTGAACCCACCCTAGCCTAGCTAATTACGCGCGAGCATTCGCTGCAGGAACCACATATTACCCAGTTGCACTTTCACAGCAGTTGTGTTGCAAAAGCCGTAAGCTGCATCAATTAAATCTGCCTATGCACTAGCATCAATACAGTGTTGCAAAAAAAACCATTGACAGTACTCGCAAGAGGCACCACTAGTTAAAGGCAGACAAAACACTCGTCTCGCATTTAGTGCTCATTTCGCTGTTACTTCAAGTTCCAAAGACTTTTCCAAGCACAAGTAGGCACGCTGCTTGCTTTGTGGCAGCACTATCGCATAAAACATCACCGCTTGCAAGAGAGTCAACAGTGTTCTTTGTCCACGCATCAGTTTGTTCATGTTAAAAAATAGGGTCTCCACGTTTAAAAGTGCTACAATGTAAAAGCTTGAACTGACTCGCTGGCACCAGAGTCCTGCTTAGCCATACAAAGGAGGCCCTCACAACTTATTTGGAAAGAAAGGTTTGAAGGTGAACAAATATTTAAAAATCCTGAACCAGGATGAACTTTTTATCAAATGCAAAGATTTTATTTTCTCCAAAACGCTCATTTCCTTTTGTAGCATTGCACTGCATAATGAGTGGCTGACGATCCCTCCGTTTCCTAAATCTTTCTAAATGTTGTAGGGCTTCTGCAAGACTGATTTACTCTAATTAACGATACATAGTCATTTCTCGCTTCTTTTCAAGAACTTGGCATTTGGTTGGAGAATTCATCACACACAAAATATTAACGTGAAAGCCATAGATTCCTTATTACACGCAAAATTTGACAGTGGGCATAGGCGACACCAACATGGGTGATGCAAAAAATCACCCCATGATCAAGTCGCCATAAGATGCCATCATGAGGTCACATGATGCCTTTGTGACATGACATTGTGGCAGGGTCAAAGGCGAGCCGATTACTGAAGTAGTTCAAGACCAAGTGAGGCGCAAAATGCTTGTAATGCCTCCAGATCTGAAGGCAGTGGGAAACTTATAAGGGCAGAAGGCTTTCAGTGGGGTGCAGGAGAGGATCAATTTAATAACTAGGTAAATAAACTTAAAAACAAACACTTTACAACACCATTTCGTCCGAGGCGAATGCATAACGGACCATGTGATGGTTATTGCCAGCATTGTTACTGTTACACCTCTGGGTAACCGAGCTATCCATCAAGGGAAACTTGCATAAAATATGAACTAGACAAATCAGATCTCTGAAATGAACAAAAGTCTCGAATACCCCGAGCACAATTGTGGGACTTGAAGGAAGTTTTAGGTCAGTGCCATAGGTACCCTGAAACGTTATGACGACTTTGGATAAACGCATTGAGCCAGCAGAGCAAGTACCAAGGATGATTTGGAAACAGATTTAAGCAATCTGCATCAACTGTGCAATTTATCACAAGACTTTACACATGTGAATTGCCTCAGCCGAATGAGTTTTCAACATCTCGTGCCTTTTACACGTAGATATTTTCAAGTACCTGTAGCACTCCTGGCCAATCTTATTGTATATTTCAGTCTACATCGGGGAACCTCCTGTGGGCAAGCGATCGTAGTCTGCTTGTGTTCCAACATGCTCTGTGTTGGCACGAGCCAAGTGATAGTGTTTATCACTAGGTTTCTTTTGTTGGAAACAATGAATTGAGCTAGCTGTGTTATGTACCGCATACCTGCCTATTGTTGAGTTCTAAAGCTGCAACAACGTTTAATGTTCAGAGGCATCTGGCAAATAGAATCGCTTCAGCTCGTTGCTGCAATGTATTATCAGCGCCAAATGAAACCTGAACAGCGGCAAGCCTTTGCGATAGTGTAGTGCGTGCCTTCTGCCGTCCAGTTATCACCATTGAAAGGCGCGCGCATCCTGTTTGGCAGCTTTGTGCATATATGCGTGCCTGTTCGTAGTGATAAACGGATCATCATCATCATATACTCCAAAGTAGCTTGTGCTGATATACTCCAAAGTAGCTAGTGCACACATGTTGAAACCTACTAAAAGATGGCGAAGTAATCGTGTTAGAAAAACTGGGAACTTTATATACGAAGTGTCTCTAGACCGGAAGGGTACCAGACTTTTGTAAGAACGCCAACATCATTTTAGTTCATAAGAAAGCAGACGTCAGAGACTTTGAAAAATTACAGGTCGATCAGCTTGCTGTACGTTTTCTACATACTATTGACAAAAATAATAGTTCATATAATTAAGGCGACATTATAATTTAATCAAACAACGGACGAAGCAGAGTTTCGTACAGGCTGCTCTACAATAGACCATATCCCTACTGTCAATCAGGTGGTCGAAAAATGCGCGGAATACAACCAACCCCCATACATAGTTTTCATACATTACAAGAAGGTGTGAGACTCAGTTGAGACATCAGCAGTAATGCAGACACTACAGAATCCGGGCATCGACGAACTTTACATAAACTTACTGGAAGAAATCTACAGTGGACCCACAGCCACCATAGTTCTCCATAAGAAAAGCGACAGGATCCCAATAAAGAAGGGTATGAGGCAGGGAAACACGATTTCTCCAATGCTGTTCCCCACAGTGTTTACAGGAGGTTTTCAGAATCCTAGATTGGGAAGAGCTAGGGATAAGAGTTAATGGAGAGTATCTAAGTAACCATGGCATTGTCTTGATGAGTAACTCAGATTACAAACACTGAACTAGACACAGAAAGCAGAAGAGTAGGTCTGAAAATTAATATGCACAAAACTAAAGTAATGTGCAACAGTCTCGGCAGAAAACAGCACTTTCCGATAGGAGGAGAGACTCTGGAAGTTGTAAAGAATACGTCTACTTAGGACGGGTAGTAACCGTGAAGCCGAACCATGAGAGTGAAATAACTAGAATAATAAAAATAGGGTAGATCACATTTGGTAAGCATTCTTAAATCATCAATGGTAATCTGTCACTAACCCTCAGGAGGAAGGTGTATCACAGCTGCATCTTGCCGATACTTATCTTTGGAGCAGAAACTTGGAGGCTTACAGAGAGGGTTCAGCTTAAAATTGAGAATGACGCAGCGAGCGATGGAAAGGAAAATGATAGGTGTAACCTTAAGAGACCGAAGAGAGCAGAGTGGGTTAGGGAACAAACCGGGTTAAAGATATCACAGTTGAAATAAAAAAAAAAATTGACATGGGCCGGGCATGTAGCATGTAGTCAGGATAATCACTGGTCATTAAGGGTAGCTGACTAGATTATCAGAGAAGGCAAATGAACGAAGGAGACAAAGTTAGGTGGGTCGACGAGATTGAAAAGTTCGCACGTATAACGTGGCCGCAGAGAGCACAAGACCGAGTTAATTGATGGATCATGGGAGAGGCCTTTGCCCTGCAGTGGGCGTAGTCAGGCTGATGATGATGATGAGCTTGTGCACACACATGTAGCTCTGCGACATCACATTGGTAAAATGTCTCCTTTTAGATTTCAACGGCTCCCAACAGACGTGACCACCGAATTTCAGCTTGGACAAGTGGAGTTGAAATGTCTTTCTCACTGCCAATAGTGTCTGCTACAAATGGCACAGCTCAGAACTTTGCAGAAACATTCAAGCTGGAACGACTATTGATGAGTGTTAGCATTCTGGTTACCTGCAGAAAAACAGCTCATGTAACGGCCAGCTTTAATCCAGCTAAACTTGTGTTTGTCATGGGGTTCAGTCAGCCTGGTTGATAATCGCAAAACTAACAAATAGTGGACTGAATGCACCGAGAGCAGCTTCCGTGATCTTAATATTTTTGGAAGAGAATGGCGTACAGAAGCACCACTCGAATTACCTGTGGCATGATAGTATTCGAAATGACGGCTCAAAAAGAAGGCAAGAAAAACTTAAAAACAGAACAGAGCACCCATTATAAATATTCAAGATGAGAACCCACCTTGTTCAGTCACAAACAAAACCTATCGCAAAATAAAATGTTAAAACCAAAATACCAATGCGATCACTAAAGGTTAAGTTGCAATAATCAACAGAAACACTGAAGCCTCCACAAAGATAAGGACTGCAGAACGGTAGTGTGTCGGACTTGAAGGGACAGTATATACGTGTACGACAGAATATACACAGAACACCATCCATCACATGCACACCATGCTGCCACACAAAAACTTTGCCCTAGCATGCAGTCTGAGGACCACCGAGACAGAAAGTGAAGCTCTCTGAAACGAACAATCAGATTCCCCACCAACAACACTTACACGACAATGGGCCAAAAAGGACAGTACTAGCACATACACCTATGCAGTTGCAGATAAAATAAACTTGCTTAGGTATTGCTTGAAATGCACCTGTCAGCGAGGTGCTTATTCATGGTAGCTTTTAAGAGCACACATTCTAAACAATGATGACACAACCTAGCAAAAACATAAAGCACTACACTTCAACTCTATTCAAGTTCATTTCTTGAATTTTTGTATATTCTGATGCTTTGTGTCACCCTTGCGGAGGATGCATGATGGCATGAGCTACCAGTCAAGTATAAAAAACTGGCTATAATGCACGCTTCACTTAACACTTCTGCCCATACTTAAAACTCTTGCACAGAGGTTCCTCCATATCTAAAATATTTTCAACTAGCCTCTTTATGCAGTTTGAACTTTCTTGATGCACCAGACCTCTTGTGCAATCAACCCTCTATTTTGTTCAGCTTTTCACTCAGGTGTGTGCGTTTACATCCAACAATGTCAGTAGTAAGCCTGGCCAAGAAGTTGCCACGTGACTAAGGCACCAGACTGAGACACAAATGCAGCCGCAGCCATGTCTTGGTGAGGATTGTCTCCACCAATCGCGTCGCAGTCCGTGAGATTGATCCTCGAAACAAGCAGTGCTGCCATTGTGCCCAATGACATCCTCGATGTCAGACAGCAGGAAATGCCTCCACCGGATTCTCGCCATGTCGACGATGGCATCCAACGTTCCGTGCTCTTTAAGCAATGCGGCACACTGAGACATTACTTGTCTCCAATGTAGGCCTAGTGGTTCGAGACAAGGCTGCCAAAAAGAATAGTAAGTGTTAGTTGCCGAAACCTTGCACACGACATAGTTTTGAGTACATCATCCTGTCAAACAAACGTGTTCACATTAGCCAACACAGAGGCCTCGAGAAGTTCCTATCAAGGAAATATTCAAGTTCATTCAGAGACAACCGGGTTCCTTCGACATGCACCCATAGCTCATCACACGCAAGTGTCTCGGCACTTATTTCCACAGTAACCACATCATCAGTCTATGATTGTGCCTACAACCTTGCATAGATTACTCACTACTATAACACTATAATAGGAAGATTTTACTGTGCTTCGCTCACAACAATGTCCCCTTCATGAACAACCACATAAAAAAAGGGGGGCAAGGGACAGCTATGCACTAATTGTGCAGAGCCTGTGGGATCAGCAGAGCTGGTGGCCTTGCCATCAGCTTCCCTTTCCCACCTCCTTACTATATATGATAGTATACATGCGTACGCTATGCATACCCAGCAGAGTTTTTCCGAACACTTCACAGGGTGTCGGCAAGCTTAAACAACTGCACTGGTTAAAAAGACATTCAGCTGCTGCCTCACCTGCCAGGAAGCCAAATCGGGCCATCCCTCGTCGGACATGCTGACGATGGCATGGGCCACGGGGCAATTTGGCCACTTCTCCTCAGCCTTCCTCTTATGCCTGAGTGTAGGCGCCGTTCAAGCACCAGCAGATTTCCTTGATCCTGGTAGCCATGGCTCCAACTGTGACTTGTCCTCTGAGGCAGGCACGTCCAAGATGCCGCTCGAGCACAGTAGGACACACACGTAATGAGACCATCTACACCCGAGCTCTCCAGATCGTAGCCATGCGCGGAGGGGCACACCAGTAAAGGGCAAATGCTCCCCTTCGGGCCATGGCTAAACAAGTCCTTGCACCATGTTACAGAAGGGAGTTTGCTGGAGATATAGTTGCGAGCATCGATTTGCGGATGCTTATGACCTCGAAGGTCGTACGGCCGAGCCTTGCCCAGGGTGGCCAGCTCACTGGCACTGTTTGAATCAAGATTCAGGTCTAAAACATCTAAGTGTATTCTGGGGTTGAGGCGTTCAAACAGGGCTATGTCGTAGACCCAAATGCACTGCAAGACGAATGGGGACTTCCTGTTGTTCATGGCCTCGTATGTACAGGCAAGCATACTGACCTGATGAAAAGAAAAAAAGGTGGGGGGGAGAAGCACACACACACACACACACACACAAAAGACAGGGTAGGTCAGTCAAATGAATATGTGAAGCTAAAAGAATAGCCATCAGGTATACAATTTCACATGGAACAAGAGCAAAGGTTAAAAACTGTTGTTATTGATATTAAAGATCCTAGCAAAAAAATATTAAGATAAGAAAGCAAACAGAAGACATATCTATGCACTGGGTTTTTTCATGTATAGCCAGGATGAAAAATATGAGGCCCTCCAAGACTATTAAAAGGACCCTTCAACGCTTTTAAAGCACCTATCATATTTTTGATTAGCACATACTAATGGGCTGGGGATAATTTTGCCATATTTCTAAGCACAGCTCCTAAATTAGTATTCTAATCATGCAGTAAGGTCACTAGAATGCTGACAACTGCATCACTGCACACTGGTGCGCACGAGAACTATCATGGGTGGCAATGACTGAAAAGCGCGCAGCCCTACGATTGGATAACCGTTTAGTATCCGGACCAAATTATTATATATAGCATTATATACAGTATTATATACAAAGTTCGAATCCGCGGGCGTGCACTAAAATGAACGGACGTCATACCGCATTGAGTTATTAGAACCCAAAGAAGTCACCTCTGGACTCGTTATCATGAATTAAATACAAATACACGATTATGGCAGATTACTTTGTGAATTAAGTTTATGGAGTTTTAATAGCCAACGAATTCAAATGATTAGTCAGCAATATGCCAGAAACAAGCACCTACATGCATTGATATGAGTAGTGAGCCTTAATATGAATTATGACACTAATTACTTGGCAGAGGTAATGCAATCAAAACGAAAGATAATCGGCAATTCTCGTTTGCTTGCGTTTCTTCTGCAGCAACTCCATGAGCATCATTTGCAGTTTGACCAAGAGCTCCTGTGCAGCGTCCGAATTTTAATCTGCTGAGAAATGCTGCTGTTTGGTTGTTTTTTTTTTTTAGTTCACTGGGTTGGGTTTAGAATTGTTATACGTCATCACCGTGGGCCGACATCTGGAATGAGCAATTAAAATCAGGGGCTCCCAGTTCGAATTAACTGTTGTCGATATAGCTACATTCGAATTATTGGGAGTTTTCACCTGTAGAAATACACAGGGGTGTGCTGGGACCAGGGCGTCAGTTCGAATTAACGAGTTTTTACTGTACTTGGTGTAGTTTTTCTTTCCTGTGCCTTTCTATTGAGCAACAAAAAGACCATGTCACAAAAACAACAAAAAAGATCACTACAACGAAAATGTATAGGTGCTGGCTGGCATTTTGCCTCTGGCTTTTTTGTTTGTGTGAGTCGGATGTACGAAACTAAAGGTTTTCCTCTTTTCTCTCCTTTTGCATCTACGTTTCAAAGCTACCTTGTGAATGTGCGAGACACTACTGATTGTTGTTGTTGAAGGGGCGCATTCCCTTCATTGAAATCAATGTCACCGCACCCATCTGCTGCTTCATGCGACTCGCCAAACAACCCGCGAAACAACTTGATGCAGTCCAGGGATGCAGGGCACAACTGTGCTTCGCCGCCTTTTTTCATTCCACAAATACCCTTCTCGGAATGAGAGGCGGTAGTAGGGCTACCAACCGTCCCAGATTTTGGGGGACTATCTTGACTTCATACAGCGTTCGGAGTTCTGCATCGACCCTGTCGGGACGACTATATGTACCCGATTTGCAACTATACATAGAGGATTGAGACTAAATACCCTTGAGTTGTGCGCCCCTATCACTGCTGTTCTTGCCGAACTAATACTTCAGCCCACGCAACATGCGAGTAAAAAACTTGGGGGCTGAGTAATGTTGGAGGGCCCCTTTAACGTGAAAGGAATGTGTTGCAGTTACATTTCATACACTGGACTGTGTTGCTAACATTACTTTTTATCCTTAATATTAATATACACTGTCAGATAATCCCGAGGCAAAATAAAGTGAGCAACTTAAAACTAAGGTTCAAATGCGTATATTACACAAATCTGAAAATTGCTGGTGGCAAATTATCAAGAGATAACAAAAATCTTGAGAAGCACCTGAGGACAAATTTTTTCAGGGAGCATCAGACAAATTTAGCAAATTCTTTCACACACACACTAAATTATTCTAATGAAGCTGATAGATCAAGAAGCAAATAGAAGTACATGGCCATTATTTGCTGCTTTTAGATCTCACGCTGGGGGTCCACTCGACAGCTGTGGGCTCGTAAAAGCAGTAGCACTGGCTTAGTGATACAAAGTGAATTATTTCAGACACACTGCTACAGTTTCAAAGTTTTTTTTTTCATAAGGTTTGGAGAACTTGGACATACAAATTGAAGAAGTACTAACAATTTTTCACATCCAGTTTGTTCGTGTTGACTGACGGTCTGACACGATCAAAGTCGTGGAGAAAGATATACTGCCAAGCCTCGGAGCACGTGCCGTAGCTTAACATAGATAACGTCTTTTTTTTTTTACAGCCAGTATTGGTTTCATTTCCAGAAGGTTATGCTTTGTAACTACACTCACGCAGACGCTACGTCACAGCATGATACAATTTACTTTTTTTTAGCATACTGCCTTCAGCTTGTTCGATCATCTTACGCAGCTATTTTGCAGGGAAATATGATAAAGCAGCTCAGGAGAACACCGAGTGCCACAAAATGCCGAGTAAACAACTGCCCGCCTGAACGGTTGAAAACGTACCTTGCAAGCAAACTTGTCGTTCTGCAACCGGCGCCATTTCTCGCCATTCTCGAACGATACTACCTCCGCCTTCGGAGGTCCCCTGTCTCTGCAGAGCCGTAGCAGATGTAAAAGCCACTGCTTGGGATCCTCGGGCCCTTCGTCAGCTTTCTGGGGAAGGTAATTCCACACACCCTGGCACCACGACAGAGCCAAGAACGTCCACAGGAACCAACTCGAAGTCAACTTATGAAGATGGTGGCATGTTCTTCCGAAGTTCAGCACATCGAATGGTTCTAAATATTGGCAGATTTTTATCAGCACGTGGCCCGGCAGTTTGTCCATGAGGGACTATCATCGGCCGGAAAATCCACTTCCATGTCCTCAACTTCTGCTTCGTGCACAATCATTCTGCCGACTATAAAACACAAGAAATCAACAGTACAATTGCAATAATATACTTGAATAGTGAAATATGCTAAACTTTACACTCACTAACATCTGCTATGACGGTGAAACTAGTGAAGGTGCTGGTTATCGGTATAATGCGCTGATTTGATCCTGACACACGTACCAGCACTTTCATAATGCCGGAAGAATGACAGGCATTTCGTTTTCGAGGACTTCCTCCTGCATTTGGTCCAGGTGTTTTTACAGTAAATGGCATGAGGAGATTGTCGCATGGTACGTTCGGTGGGGGCCTGTACTGCACTCTCACTTGGATTACAGAAACGCAGAGCCCACTTCCGACCCGAGTCGGAGAAAGTGCAACTAATTCCAACAATGCTGCCACATACTCGAGCAATCATAGTCTGGAAGTACTGTACACATCATGTATTTCATTACAAACACCATGCAGCCTGACTTTATGGCATGCAGGAACATGGTGCATGCAGCTACGGCTTTCTACCATGCTGTCCCTAACCATGTAGCTTCTGGCACGCTTGTTTGAAGTTCGAACAAAAACACAAAAAAGCATCCATAATGTGCAATAAATTCCCTGCAACTTCACTTGTTCTTGACGTATTCAAAAAGTCTTTGTGGCGATCAAGTCGCGACAAAATAGGCTTCTTACTGCGATCATTTTATGAAAACTTGAAAAAATGTTGAAGGATTCTTCTAAGGAGTCTGCAGTAAACATGTGGGTGTACACAAGCACTATTACATTATAAAATAACAAAAAAATGAACAGGAAACTGCAGCAAGGGCCAGGGGTGGTAATGATGTAGAACTCGCCAAACGCCACATAGAACCCTCTGCACCATAGTGCAAGCCTGGAGAATCATAACCGGTAAAAGGAATGAAAAGCAGGGGAAATATTTAAAGGAAAACGAAGCAGGAATGATCTGCTTCTTCCATAACACTGGAAAAAGCTTCTTAGAAAAACATACATATTAACCAGCAGTGAGTTTTTTTTTTTTTTTCTGGCATTTCATAAAAATTACTCTTTATATATTGGAGAATGCACAAAACGTTAACAAGAAAGGCGCACTAAATATAACACGTGGTTTTGGAGGCCTTTGCAAAACGTGAAGCGTAGCGCCTAAATTTCAAGCTTTGTCTTTCGCGCGTCGATTAGTCGAACGATTTTCCCGCCGCCGCGGACTAATTCCAAGCGCGGCGCTAAAGTGTTCTAGAAACCGTAGCGGTGCAGCAAGCTATCTGCTCAACAGAACCTGTTAATAAGAAGTTTTGCGCTTAACTGATCCCGCAAATAGTTATAGAATCAGTCACTTGAATCCAGTGAGGCCCGTTTTTTTTTTCTGTCTTGATATTTTTTTTCAACTTAAGCGTTCTGTTCTCGCCAACATGCTCAACGAACAAGTGCACGAAAAACGCTTGCATGAAGCAGTAAGTAACAAGAATCGCACTATTCAAAAAAAATTTTTTACTTTTGTATGTTTCCATCAGCGAAGTGTTCAGCGCACGCCCAATAAACATACGAAACACAAAGCGACATCTTGGCGTCGTCTGCTTCTGTCAAGAAGATTCGCCACTTATTTCTGCATGGTTACTGAAGAGTGTTCATCCTGTTTTATCGATTAGAAACACGACAGCGTGTTTGCCTTAGAAATGGGCGTATCTACGTGGTTGGTCAGCGAGGCTATAAGAAGGAACGTCTATGAACACTTGTCGAAACGGAGTGACGTACGATGTCAAATGCCGCTGATAGTGCATATAACAACACGGCGAGATAGACGTGCACTGCCATTTTTCTATGTCGTGGTTCTAACTCGGTGTACTAAAACACCGAGTTTGCTGGTGCAATATTTTCGTGAAGTCAGCGCACGATCACGATCGATGTATACGCAAGCAAGGACGCGATCGGAGCAGTGCGGTGCTGTTTTTCTGCGTCGTGAATGCGCGCTGGTTTCTTGCACAACAGCTGTGACTCGACCGTTTTAAGGTGGGTGGGTGTAGTCGACGAGTAACAAACAAGTTACGTAACGACCAGCAGATTTCAAACTGCGCCACGGCGACGGCATGCGCAGCATCGAGTCAGCCGCAAAACACGCGAGGTGACGACAACAGGTCCAAACGTTTTGTAGCAAAGTGAACTGAAGCGAGAGAGAAACGCCGTGTTAATGCAAACAGGTGCAAGTGCAGGTCGCGAATTTGTGCACTAAAGACGCGACCGACATAGCGAGTTCAAAACGAGTGCGAAAGAATAGGCGCCACAATCAAAAGTGACAACGGTAAAAACACACCCACGCACAATCCGACAAAGTGACCCGAAATGCGGCATTCAAAATGTTCAAAACTCACACCAAACTTACTTGCCACGCGCTACGCACGCGCTACTACTGCGCAAAAACGAAACTTACCTTCCACAAAGAAGTGAAGAACGAAAGCGGCAAAAAACGTCGTTGGCGTGAGCTATGGACAAATAATACGAGTGTGAATAAGGTGGATGGATGCTATAGCATATTCTTTATAACGGAACGACAGCTGCGCCACCACTGATAGAGAACAGGTAGCTAGCGTCTGCACGTGTCGTTTGCCTTTGAAACTGGGTGCTTAAAAACCTGCTGACGCAAACTCTCAAAGGTCATATGAAGTCAAAGCAGCCACAAACGAAACTCTCAAAACCTTGTACGAAAACTTGTTTACAAAACATTTTTATGTACTTATAAATGCTTTATTTAATAAGAAGTTTTTGTTAAAAGTTATAACACTCAAAATATTATTGAGTTTATTTAAAATTATACAAAAGTATATAAATAATTGGTTAGTTGAATATGCCTAATATTTTTACTCTTTGTTCGCATTCTAGCGTTTCCTGGTAGGTGTTCTGTGGCGTTTCCTTTTCCGGGTTTCTTCAAGAATCAAAATGGCGCCCTTTACGATTTTCGGAGCTTGACGGCTTGCAGTGGGCAATGTCACACGAAACATGACGCGTGTTTCGCCTCTATAGTGGCTGGAAACGACGAACGATGCCGGTCATAGGCATGGACAGCGGACTATGGATACCAGCGGCCCTCGGCAACCCCCCGAAGGAGGTAATCACCGCTCACAAGCTCGCTATGCTCGTGCTCGTGTCCGAGTACTGCCGCGTTAAGATGCGACGGCACGTCAAACCGAACGAGGAGCCGTGGTCGCACACAAATCAGCAATGTCGGGACTTCGCTGTTCTGCTCTCTCAAGCTCCTCCAGAGCCCCGACGTACCGCTGAGCGATTTGCTTGCCGCGCTGCGCCCAGTGTTGCACCCAAAAACGCTGGACCTCTTCACTGAGGAGGTGGCCATCATGCGAGACTCCGGCGTAGCGGGTATCATGGACTACGTCCCCAATCTAGACAACCTTCTCGCCGATCCCGTCGCCGCGACGCCCGCCGTGCTGCACAAAAGCAGCGTCCTAGGACTGTTCGTGCGACGCATGCTGCTCGCCCTGGACAAGCTCAACTTCAGCGCGCTCGTAAACTTGCACAAGAGCTTCCGCTTCTACTGCGACGAGGGACTGCGCCGACCCGATGGAGCAGACGACTGCGCCGTCGGGTTAGCGCGACCGGCGGCGACGCAGCGTCAGGCAGATTTGTTCCTGGCGCAGCAGGTGATGCTGATGCAGCTCAGCGAAAAAGCCGCCCTACCGCCGCCGCAGCTGCAACGGCGAATCAACCAACTGTTGGCCGGTAGCCGAGACCTCTTCGAAGCCCACTATCTCAGCTTCCTCAACTGCCTCGCCGTTCGCGAGTACAGCGGAGCGGACGACAGCCTGCGGCACTACTTTGACCGCGCCGTACCCGAGACCGCCAAGGGCGCCGTCGAAGACGGCGGCGCGACCCGAAACCTCCGGTACGCGTCTTTCAACCTGGCCACGCTGCACGCGAAGATGGGTCACCGCGGCGAAGCCCTGATCGCCCTTCGCGAAGCCATCACGCTCGCGCAGGACGCCAACGACGCGGCCTTCCTGCAGCACGCCCTGTCGTTCCTTTGCCGACTTCAGGGCAGCCGCTGCGACCCTTCCCAGCTTCGTTGTCTCATTACGCGCGCCTCCGAGCTAGGCCTACACGGCGTCGCCTCGTTCGGCATACAGGCGCTGGCGCGCGTTGAAGGCGAGGCGGGCGTTGCGCCCAGCGCCGTCCTCGAGTTGCTGGGCAAGAGCGACCTCCTCAACTGCCAGCACGCCATGTCCGAGCCCGCGGCGCTAGCCGAGCGTGCGGCGCTCTGGGCTTTCTACGGATTCCAGGCCCTCTCCCAGCTCCAGTCGCACTGGCTGCTGCACGCCTCTCGCGGAGACCCTCTCAGGGCCTCGGGAGTGCAGCCCCTGGGAGAGGCATCGGCCCTGGCTCTCCGCAACCTGGCCGTCGCCTTTACGTTCCATGGCCAGCACCAGAATGCCAAGAATATCCTCAACTTCGGCAAGTCGCTGTTCCCTCAGTACTCTGATTCGTACAAGACGCTCAAGTTGTGCTACCTCGTCACCTCCTTCAACGTGTCCCTGTACCAGGCAAACTGGCCGCTGGTGGAGAAGCTCGCTTCGGGCATTCGAGTACTGGACCGCTACGAGGGCGACCTCTGTCGGGCACGCTCCCTCCTCTGGCAGGGCCACTTCACGGCAGCGCTGGACCTGATTGACACCTTGTTCAAGGAATGTTGCGACACAGGAATTAATTTTGTTGGCTGTGTGCCACACTTCGTGGGTCGTCTGTATCATCTCAAGGCAGAGCTCTTCATTGAAGCTTCGCAACCTATGCTTGCCATCCCGGTTCTTTGCAAGGGTCTCACGCATGCCGAGAAGCACCACCTGGCTTACATTCGAGCCATGCTTGTCGTACTGATGGCTGAGGTTCAGTTTCAAATCGGCCTGCCGGGACACGCAAGCACGCTGCTCGATGAAGTAGTGACGATCGTTCCTCTCTCACGGGAGCCTTGCAGACATCGGACAGCTGTGTCTTCTGCGTGCTAAGTGCGTGTTTTCTAGCAAGGGGGTGGAAGCAGCAGGCAAAGCGATCCAACTTGCAACGACGTCTCTAGACACTTACACTAAGGTGCAGTTGAAGAAAGGCATAAGAGACGCAGCCTATTGGCTAGCATTAACTTGCCACGCGGTAGGCTTGGAGGAGCAGCGAAATGCAGCTGCCCAGCGATTTCGCCAGGTTGATGAAGAAATGGCTGAAAAACTGTTGTACGTTGTATAAAAGTAATGTTCTTCATAAATGCTGTGACAGTATCTTTACTTTTACTGAGTGCTTTTGTGTATCTGATTGTTTCTTTGTACAAGTTGCATGGTTTCTGCAGCCATTCAATTTCTGATTTACGCTTCTACTTTCTGTAAGAGATGTATGTGTATAGAGTACCGTGCTAGCACTGTTGCACAGAACGTTCCAAGAGATGACGTTTCAGGAACTAGTTCATAGATAGAAAGCTTTTATATTCCCGAAGGGGATGGGGAGCAGCTCGCCTTGCTCTTCCAAATTTTTTCTTTGTTGCCTATCTAGGATTCCAAACGTAAGTGCCCTAACCACTGAATTTTCCAATCTGTTTTTTTTTTCCTTCATGGCATTTATTTATGATGGGCACGGCACTTTGAAGAAATTCAGTACAGGAGAACTGATATGCTCATTGTGCTTGTATCGCAGTGAAGCGACAAATACACAGAGAATCCGCATTCATCTCTACAGCGAATATATCTAGCAACAGCATTTTTACAATCATAGCTGAGTGACCGTCCTAATGTAGTGGGTGTTGAAGTTATTGGCTGTGTGTTTTTCTGCAACATGTGCGCACTCTAGCGGAGCATAGCAGAGCTCCGTATAGTAGAGCAAGGGGTTGGGAAAGGATAGTGAGAAGGAGGAGATGAAAGAGGGGAGAAGTTTTAAAAAAGACAGTGAGAAAAAAATATAAAGAAAGAAGGCAAGTTGCAAATGTGCTCCCTGGACATTATTCTCTACTCACACTCAAATATTGAATCAGCACTCATAAAATGCCCAAGTATTGTCCCTTCGGGTGTGGTTTCCTGTCCGAGATATTCAGCTTTATTGGTGCATGTGTGGAGAAATATCTATTTGAATATCTGAAGCGCAGTATCTTTACTGCGCCTTTCAAGATCAACTTGGAATGTGCCACAAGTGTGGGACTTGAAATCGACAAGCACACAAGCTGCAGACTGACAGTAATTTCACTGCAGTGTGTACTTGGTATTGTTGAATTTGTATAATATATAGGTTGATGCGAGCTTTAAGTTGCTTACTTTGTTTCACTTCAGGATTAACAAACATGGTATATTTATATAAAAAAGTCAAATGGGTAATTGTTATGCAACGAGACTTTTTTGTGTTTTCAAAACGTAACTGTAATTCGTTCCAAAATTGGGACAGAATGAGCTTTCATTCCTGTTGTAGAAGAACGTGTACAACACTGTGTACTGTATGTGTTCAGAAGTTTTGTACTTGTTACAGTTTTCAGTTGACCCTTTTAGAAGCCCAGTAAATGGACAAAAGAATAATGCGATACGAGAAGTAGAAGGTAGCGCACACTGCAGGCATCGACATCTCAAAAATCTTTTGAGCTTCCACTGAACACTATCACATGTGCTCATAATTCACCTCTTAGCAAGCAACAATTTATGAAAAGTGACATTTATAACAATGAATGTGGCTGTCAACTTTACTTATTCAACGCTGAAACTGCGGGAATGATATCCGATTCCAGTCCATCGAACCATGTGACCTAGCAGAAGTTGACCCCATTTTTCACTCCCCAAATGAGACCGACTATGTGCAATTAGCAAACGTATGCAGTGCTCCTAACAGCTTTTTCCTCAAGGTTCTTTATAGTGGTGAACAGTTCATACTACTAAAAACGAGTAATCACTATCATAGCAACAGCCTGTGATGTCAGCACAGTGTGGCAGTAGTTAGCGCAAGTTTCTTAAATGCCGGTTGATCGTAATGGCCTTTTGTGTCCTCTCTGATGAGGTTGAATTGAATCTTAAAGTACTCTTACTCTTGACAAATGCTATAATATTTATTGGTGGCTGAACTCTTTACCCCGTATACGTGCTTTTCGTAAGGCCAACATTCTAATGTGGGAAAACTCGAGTAGATCAGTTTTACAATGTGCAACTTGCAATGTGCATGTTCACTCGCATGTTTACTTAGAGCAATTTATATATGCGTAAATAAACAATGCTGCCAGTTATGGAAGGTAACGTACCGTCGTCTACGCTGGCAATGCGAAAGAAGAGCCTAGTTGAAGACATCGTTTATTCTCGGCGGCCGTCCACCCCTGTTGAGCCCAACGAACTCTCCCAATGCCATCATGCATTCAAGCGTTACCCGCTCGGTTCAAGAACAATCGCACCAGCAGCATACCTTACCCCATCTTCTTGCTCTCAGCTAGGATCACTACTGATCCTAGTAGAGCTTTACTGCCGACATATACAACTAGATCTGCCACATTGGACACTCTTTCTGTCTACTGCCACTGCGATTACATGCAATGGCAGTGCTTGCCTGACTGCCCGAGATTTCATTGCGGTGGCTTGCATCCCTAAAACCCAACTCTCCAGGCAACAATTCAGGAAAAACCTGCCTCAGCTTTTGAGCTATTTTCCTGACGACCCTCGTGGTGTCGGCACCGTGGATACATATTCGCTATGACTAAACTGCTAGAAAACATGCCAAGCAGTAGCCTACTCACACATTCCGAGACTTTACTCTGCCTAAACTAGGGGCATCACTGTGGTGTGAATCATCACATGAACTGCTACAGCAATGGACATAATTTTTTGCCAGAAATTAAGACGAAAAGAAAAGGCTATTTCTGCTGTTCCATAGTGCATTAGTGAGGAGCGGGGCTCAGCTCACTGACAGGTCGCACAGGCTCTGCATGAAAAGAAAAATATGTAGATAGAGATCTGGCGCACACAACGTATGACATCGCAGCAGAGACCTGCCCCAGGCGGGCATGTTACCGGGTTCACTGCAGCGCAGTGTAAACAGCTTTGCCCAATGAGGAGCCCTTAGCCAGAATCATAGCTCCTGCGCTGCACAGTGTGAAATTGTGACGGGAGGTTTTGAAGAGAAAATCCACATTTTGAAGTGCATATAGGTGCTTGGAAGTGTCAGGGCTTCACTACAGATCATGTTCCCTAAGATCTGAAAACAAATGAGCTGGCTTGTAGACACAAAACTTAGTTGACACGAAAATTGGAAAACTTTTTGGGGAAATTGGTTCCCCTCAAGGCACTTTTTCTTTGGCAGTTAATGATGCTGCTTGGGTCTAGGGAATTTTAGCAGTCACCTGAAGCACCATCATCATCACTGACGGAAGGTAGGGCGGTACAGAGGTTCATTCCCTCTTTACCCCACCTCACCTAAAGGCAACTGCCATACTGATTTTAAATAAAGTTTATTTGTCCGTTGTGACACAGAATAATTTGCTTCACAATAAACAGTCCATAGCCAGCACCCTGTTTTATAAAGTAACTCGTGCAAGTTTGAAACTTGTGGCCGCTAGGCGTTGTGAGCATTTAACTGCAGCAAGCCCGGGCTTTAGAACACAGTTTGACAACATGCTAGAAACCAAACACTAACAACTGGCATCAGTGTGCAATGCACAATTTACGTGCTTTCTCAATTCAACTACGCGCCAACTTCAACACAGCCGCAGATTTGCACAGATTTCTGCTGATAAATATAGACATCTGGACAGCAGTAAGAATTTTATAGAATTCTATGGCGTAAAATGAGATAGATGAGAAATAACAAAGGCAACACAGTGTTTTAGCCAAAGGTGGAAGAAAATACCACTCAACTATCACAGCTTTTTGGTCAACAATACTCCACTATAAAATTTTCTCAGCAATGCCTGTCAACCTCTCCTGGCTGAGAGAGACTAGTATTTTGCTCCTGGTGAACACTTTGCTTGAGAGCTCTTCCTTCTCGAGTTGTATTCTTATTCACATCTGTTCACTCACCGATGCATCAAAAAGAAAAAAAAATGCAACATAAATGTCCCAACTACCTACAACATTGCACAAGTTCACAGCAATGGAGGCAAGCATCTGAGTAGTTCAAACTGAAGTCAAGGCACAACATTTTGTATGACAGTCATGCCGTATAAGATACCTGCGGCCTGACAATTCAGAACCACGAAAATGCTAAACAAGAGAAGAACAAACTTAGTAGCAGAACAGAGCAACAGCAATCATTGTAAAAATGTCCGTCGTGGAAGGAATGCATGTAAATGTGGCTTGGGAGTGGGGTGAATGCTTGTGTAGCTTGAGGAAGGAGAGTGGTTTTACCACATACACCCATGCAATCACAAAAAATATAAACCTAGTTAAGTACAGCAAAAGCTTGTTGATTTGGAGTTCACAAGGCTTTACGATAATAAAAACTTAACGACAGACAAAAAATGTTAAAACTCCAGGTCTGTTGAAGTTCAGTGCTTTAATTTTTTTCTATTATAATAATCTGCATCGGTCTTGTTTCCAAAACACGCTGCAAGCAACCAGTTACAAGAAGGCCCCCGCAACATTTTCTGAACATAGCACATCGCGTGGTCGGTAATCTACCATTACGTTTCAAGGTTGGGGAGAATTCACCTGGCAGATTATGCCGCGACTGGTCCAGCTCGGACGGACTGCAAACACAGCCATTGCTCAACATGAGCATTCCTGTGCGGCATACGGCCACCTCAGGGTGCCACTGTTTTCCTGCATCGCACTCTGCAAGGCTAAAATTGCACACTATAGGATCACGCCAGCGTGTTTGCGATCTCACCGAAGGTGAGCCGACAGGTTTCAAAACAGTCGTGCAACAAAAGGTGATGCCACACGCATGCCATAGCTTCTTGCATTATTTTAATCTGACCTTCCCTTGTGAAACCGTGATTGTTGGAGGAATAAAACGCTCTAAACATGCAACAAATTCTTATAACTCTCCTTGTACGTGACAGATTCACAAAATTTTGGTGCCAATCAGTAAAGGCAACAAACTCTAATTCGATTATTACTTGGAAGGTGTCGTGTGGAGCCAACTATAAAATCCCTGCACACTTTATGCGACTTGCACCAGTGCTTGAAAAGCAAGATTCTGCCCCCACACTCAGCACAATTGTGCTGAGTGTTGGGGCATAATGCTAATGCCTCACTAAAAATAACATCTCATGTTTTAAACCTCAAAACCAAGATATGATTATGAGAGAAATCGTAGCAGAGGGTTCCGGTAATTG